TACTCAGTAGTTCACTTTTCAGTTTTGAATTAAAAGCAACATTTGCCATGATCCCATGCATCTCTCCCACTGTCTCCTTGAGTTCTGCTTGGCAGGTGGCTTGGCACACAGGTGAACTTAGATGAGGCCTGTAAACAAGCCCATGTTGGTATGATTTACACACTTGGTGGGGCAGGTATGGTGAGGGTGGGATACAACAGAGACATGGTGCCCACCCTTCCCCTGTTGGGCAGGGATGGCCGCCCAGTGGGTGTGTGGCCACTTTTTGAAGCACTACTATAGTGCCTGGGACTGCACCATGTGAAGTGTTGGCTTTTTCCACTTCACCTGTCTCATGTGTGTCCCTTCAGGTCACATGGTCCTGCTCCGCCTCAGTCCCAGGCCTGAGGCTCTATGCTCTGGATGACCCTGTTGGTACTGGGAGCTCTTAACCTCTTGGCTGTGTCCAGAAAGCCTGTGAGGTGCTCAGTGGTCCCTTTCCACAGCCCTCAGTCATAGCATAGCTGGACTGGCTAGTGAGGACAGTCCAGACATGTCACAGTTTTTGATGGGCAACTGTGACCTCTTCCCCACTTACCACTGCCCTTGAGGATGGAAAGTTCCTGCTAATCTCTGCAGGGAGTTATTGAATTTGATTACACTTCTGTTAAGATTGTATGCTTTGTTTATAGGGACAAACCACTAAAGTACTGATTGGACCACAGAGCTTGGGCCAACCCTTTGTACTCCTCATGAAAATGGAATGTTTATGAAATGTGTAAGGCACACTTGACTTACTGTTGAGCTGTAGAGCGTTCAAGAAAACACTGGTGTTCGATGAATAAATGGTGTGCCATGGGCTCCCGTTCCAACTTGAGAACCTGTCCTTCTGGTCACATTGTGCTGTGTGCCACATTTAAAAAATCAAAGTCTCTTAGACTTTTTTTTTTACAGAGCCAGTTGGTCATATTCTCCTAGTATTTCATTGGTACTGTGTGTTTGGTTAATTCCTTCATATTTGGGTACCTTGCCTGAAGTGATAATGATCTTGGCAGACCTGCCTCCTCCCAGCTGTGGTGCAGCTCCAGTGTTGGTGATGGCTCTTTGGTTAGGACCTGGCGTGTGGTGTATCTTTTGGGGTGACTGTGCCTGAGCCAGCCTTTCCCAGGCTGGCATGCCTTGTGGAGCTGGGGTTTATACAGCATTTTGGGGATAGCCCAGGCTCCCACTTGTTCTTGCCATCTGCTGCCTCACTTCTCCACCTCCGTGCTTATCATGTTTGGGTCACAGGATGTTCTGTCAGATTTGTTTTTTACTTGTTATGTGTTTTGTGCATCTCAAGATGAGTGTCTCTGTCTCTATCAGCTTTTGTCTTGTGGTGGCAGAGCTTCACCCTCTGCAAATCGTTGGTTACTGTGCGCCCACCTGTCTTGCCTGTTCTCGGTACAGGAGAATCCTGTTTTCTACAGGATTCTGGCTTCTTTATAGTTCTTTGTCTCTCCCTTCCTTATTTTAATGGAGAGAGAAAGTTTTTATGTATCCTTTATGAGTGAACATATACACAATATTAGAAACAGCTTTGTATGGCCACACTCCATTTGCTACTTAAATATATAAAATTAAGTGTTAAATTGTCTTCAACTTGTTTTTATGTTACCATGTTAATATACTTTTTATCACCTCTATGTCTTGTTGCAGACTCATGATTTGTATGGTTTCAGCTTATTCTAATGAGCTGTGCTTAGTGTTTACAGGGTCACAATGTGGCCAATAATGGCTCCTAAAAGCCAGCTTCCTGCCCTTTCCTTACAGCACAGACACTTGTGACAACCTCCTCCTTTTCAGACATAGCAAGAGATTATAGGCCCATACTGATTTTCTTTTTCCTGTTCCAGGAGGTGGAGTCAGTTGCTCTCCTGGGTTCTTTTAATGGGGAGTACTGTTAGAAACAACTCTGGATGCTCTGAGTTCATTTTGTGTTTTCTGCAGCTGTCTGGTGGTAGGTGGGCTGATGATGCCTCTGCTGGAACACTTCCGACTCAGACTGGAAAAGAGATTTGTTTGTTTAATGATTGTGGGCACAGCTTTTATGTATTTCCAATTTAACTTTGACACTATCTAGAGATCCTTTCTTAATGCCCATCTAAACTGTATTTCTACCCACCTCTCTCTAGTATTTTTATGTATCTCATTGACAACTGTTCTTTCTGTTGTTGCTTTGTTGATAAATTACCAAATTGCTTTCCATAAACATTTTAACAGCAACATGGTTTTATGGTGCCAGCCACGCTTGTGTACGTGCTTTATCATAGTCTTGCCAGCATTTGGTGTCTCTGTGTATTGTAAACATACTTAATCATCATTCTTATGTATTAATTCATCCCCAACCTCCCTCCATAATTAAAAGTATAGAGTACTATCTCTGGTGCTTTAATTTGTCTTTGACTACAATGCACGTTTTTGTCTCTTAGTTGAGGTTTTTTGGTGCCTATCCTTTGTCCATTTCTTCATTGAAAAAAAGTGTTGATAATTTATAGATTTGAATGAGTTCTTATATATAAATTAATGCAGTCATATGTGATATAATTATTTTTTACAACAGCTTATTGAAATATAATTCATACATACCATACAATTCACCCATTTGAAGTGTATAATTCAGTGGTTTTTAGCATCTTCACAAGATTATGCATCCTAACCATCCAATTCCAGGACATCCTCATATCCAATTCCAGGACATCCTCATCATTCTAAAAAGAAACCCCATACCTATGAGCAGTCACTCCCCATTGCCCTTCCCTCCAGCCCCTGACAACGACTCATCTTGCTTTCTCTATAGATTTGCCTATTGGGGACATTTCATAAAAGTGTAATCATACAATATGTGGCTTTTGTGTCTGGCCATTTTCACTTAGCTTGATATTTTCCATGTTCATCTATTTTATAGAATATATCAGTACTTCCTTTTTATGGCCGAGTATTTAATTTTACAGCAGGACTACATTTTGTTTATCCATTTATCCATTGATTGACATTTGGGTTGTTTCTACCTTTTGGCTGTTAGGAACTTTCTTGTACAAGATTTGTGTGGACATATGTTTTCACTTCTCTTGGGTATACACCTAGGAGTGAAATTGTTGGGGTATATGGTACTAGTTTCCTTTTGAGGAACTGTCATACTGTTTTCCAAAGTGGTTGCACCATTTGACATTCCTAACAGCAGTGCTTGAGGGTTCCAGTTTCTCTAGGTCCCCATCAACACTTGTTATTATTATGTTCTTTTGATTTTAGCCATTCTAGTAGGTGTGAAGTGGAATCTCATTACAGCTTAAAAAAAAATTATTAATGGAGGTACTGGGGATTGAACCCAGGACCTTGTGCATGCTAAGCATGCCCTCTACCACTGAGCTATACCTTCCCCCCCATTATGGCTTTGATTTGAACTTCTGCAGTGACTAATGATAATTGAGCATCTTTTCGTGTGCTTACTTATTGGCCATCTGTCTTTTTTGGAGAAATGTTTATTCACATGTGTTGCCTACTTTTTAATTGTGGGGTTTTAAAAAAAGATTGAGTTGTAAGAGTTCTTTTATATAGTCTGGATACAAGTCTTTTATCTGATACATGATCTGCAAATATTTTTTCCCATTCTTTGGGATGTCTTTTCACTTTCTTGATGATGCCTTTGAAGCACAAAATTTTAAAAGTTTGATGAAGCCCCTTTGATCCGTTTTTTCTTTTGTTGCTGTGTTTTTGGTGTCATATCTAAGAAATCATTGCCAAGGTCATGAAGTTTTTACTCCTGTATTTTCTTCTAAGAGTTTAATAGTTTTAGTTCTTAAATGTAGATTTTTGATCCATTTGAATTAAATTTTGATGTGGGAAAGGCATCCAACTTCATTCTCTGCATGTAGATATCTAGTTGTTCCAGTGCCATTCATTGAAAAGACTGTTCTTCCCCGTTGAAGGGTTTTGGCACCCTTGTCAAGAATCAATTGGCCATAGACATTTGGGTTTATCTCTGGACTTTGTTACTTTCTTTTGTATGTCTATCCTTATACCAGTACCGCACTGTCTTGATTACGTAGCTTTGTAATAAATTTGTAAGTCAAGTAGGGTAGGGTGAGTTCTCCAGTTTTGTTCTTTTTTGAAGTTGTTTGACTATTCTGGGTTCCTTGAGTTTCTATGTGAATCTTAGGATCAACTTGTTGATTACAGCAAAGAAGATAGCTTCTTTTAATAGGCATTGCATTGAAATTTTTTAAAAATTAGATTTTTGAACTTACCTAAATAAAAAATATATAACTCTTTATTGTTTTGTAGGAACTTTTGGTCTGTAGTGAGCAGTTTGGCTCTAAATTATTTTTTCAAGTTATTAATCAATTATTCCACTACTGTGCTTTTTGAGCAGCTTATTACTTTTTTTATCAACTGTAATTTTTATGTGTAGTTCGTAATTCTTGGACTCTTCTTTCCATTAAGTTACACTTCTGTATTCCAGGACTGCTAGGATAAAATTCTGTTTAGTTGTTGGATACAGCCTTAAGCTAGTCTGTTTGTTTACGCTGTGAGTGCCTTCTGTGTGTCCAGCCTTATATCAAGTGTAGATGGGTAAGCAGGGTGCGGGCCTCTGGAATGGGAGACACTGTGGTTACATGGTTTGAACCAGCTTCCTTTATGGACAAGAGTTGGCTACAGGTGATGTTTAGGCTGGGCAGTGTGATGGGCAGACTGGAATATGGGGTGGTGTTGGGGACTTATTGCAGAGCTGAGGAAAGAGGGTGAGGGCAGATAGGTGCTGGGTGGTGGCATCCATGGGCACACAGGACAGGGCAGAGTGGGATTTGAGCAGGGAAGGGACTTGGGGGAGGAGGACATTGGCCCGAATTGTGCAGCAGAACATCACATGGCCTGCCTGCCCTGCACTTGGTGGTGTTTCAATGATGTCAACACTTTAGTTCATACGTTTAGGAAAAAATGAGCTGCTTTGAATCTTACCTTTTTTTTCCTGTGTCCACCAGTATGACACCGTTCCTATTCAGTCCAGCGTGGTGTTATGTTCCTGCCCATCCCCATCAATGGTGAGGACCCAGACTGAGTCCAGCACGGCCCCTGGCGTTCCCAGCGGTGGTAGCAGGCAGGGCCCCACCATGGACAGCACCGCAGCTGAATCCCGGCCCAGTGCCAACACGCTACAACACACCACACAACCGCCACCACAGCCTCGGAAGAAACGGCCAGAAGACTTTAAATTTGGGAAAATTCTTGGTGAAGGCTCTTTTTCAACAGTGAGTACATGCTGCTGTTGTTTGTTGAATGAGTGTGTTTTTCTTGGAAACACTGGCCTTTCTCAGGACTCAGAGCTGGGGCTGTTCTTCCCCGGAGGAGGGTCTCAGGCCCCTCAGGGGTTCCTCTCCTGTTGTGTAGGTGACTTGGGGTTGGCTACCACCAGGCAGATCACATGGTTAAAATATCTAATCCATAATCTTATAGATGTAAGCTTTAAAAGACATGTCTTGATCTTATTTTTTTTTTAATGCAGTTAAATTTTATTCTAACCCAGCATCAGCAAGTTACATTTCATGTCCTTGTGTCTTATTAACAAGACTCTGGGAAGCTTTTTCTGTTCCTTACATTGAATGTTAGTATTGGTATCATCTCTTCATAGTTTTGGGGAAACATTTAATGACTTTTATTATTTCTCTGTTATTTTAAAAATATATACAAAACATTACACTCTTGATATTTGCTATGGTTGTAGCCCAAGACCTGCTGGCTTCTGTTTTGTGTCTTCAGTTTCATGAACAGAAACATCGTCACAGCACTGTCCAGTCATACTCAGGGTAACTCTTTTTGTTGCCTGAGAGAGTTTTACCTGTCTTATGGTGTTTTTTCTCTTAAAGCAGAGAACAAAGTTTCAAGGCCACCCTTTGTTGAGTTGGAGGCCTCACGTGACTGGCGGGGCCAGGGGTGTGCTGCAGGCTCAGAAAGGCCGAGCACCATCCCCGCACCGTGGGGCAGTCTTGGTCTGTGCCTTCAGGACTAGACAGGTCCCTGCTCTGTGGTCTCTGGGCCCAGCATGTGCTATGGACATGCCAGGATATCCCTGTGGCTCCTCACGCCAGCAGGGTTCCTGAATGTGTCTTTCTTGACTGGCCTTTGTGAAGAAACTAAATGTGAAATTTGTTTTCATTTTCTCTTTTTCCATTTATGAAATATTTCAAGAGATGAAGAACATGACGTATTATAGCTCACCCATGTTCCCCACATCATTTTAATTAATGTTAACTTTTGCTCCTTTTACACTTTTAATTTAGATTTTTTTTTTAACTGGCAGTTTTTGTTCAAGTTATGAAAGAATTGGGCCCTCATGATAAAAAATCTTCAACTATGAGGATAATCCCCAGTAGGTCTGGTTACTGATACATCCTTTCAGAAAGTAGAAACTATTTTGAAAATAACCTTGGAAGTTCTGCACAATTACTTACAGTTGTCTAGTAAAAGGAGAAGAGTCTCTCCTTTTTTCAGTTTTACTTCATTGGACATTTATATTGACTGGAAATTGTGGACTTATTTGTGAAATTCCTTCATATCCCTGGATTTCCACAGTGGGTAAAACTAGACACCATCTGTTCTGGGTGACATATTTCTGATGTTAAAAAACCCCAGTTGAAATTTTTATCATCCCTTTGCTAGGGAGGTGCCCAGAAAAGCTCCATGAACCTGGAGACTCCTTTCTGGTACTGTTTGGAATCCTGTATCCTTGGGTCTCAGAGTATATGTGCTACCCTTAGGTCTTTCTCACCACTCCTGAAAAAGAGAACACTTAACATTAGATTTCCAGGGGAAGGGTGGAGGACCAGAGGCAGTTCTCAGGCTGGGCAGGAGCTTCACTTGGTGGAGCCTGGTGCTGGAGAGTAGGGAAGCCTGGTCTGCTGCCGCCTGGCTCCCTGAGGATTATCATGTCTGTTAGTCTTGCTGTTTGCCCAGGCCCATAAGGAAACCTGCATGGAGAATGCTGAATTCACACAGCAGAAAGATGACATAAATATCTCCTTGAAATAAGATTCCACTGACGATTAGTACTCTTAACAGTTTTTCTCTTCCTCTTTTTCTACTTACGTATCTAGTGCACACTCCTGTGAGAAGTTTAGCATTGTGTAAATACATAACCTAGAGAAGAGAGGTCCTTCCCCAGCCTACTCCCCTTCACTCTCCAGTGCCTGCAAGCAGTCCACTCAGATACCCTCTCCCAGAAAGATCTTCAAGATCTTCCTGCTTGAGTACATATAATCTGACCTCGTTCTTCTTAATAACTGCAGAGCGTTTCACACTGTTTCTCTAGGGTCACTTCTGATGAACAATTTTGTAACAGTATATAACTCATAACTAGGGAGCCAGATGAATGTGGCCTTGGCCTCCAGACGTCTTCCCAGGAGGCCCCAGGATTTCCTAGGAGTCAGCAGGTTTTCATCTCCTCTCTGGTCCTGGGCCATTGCCCTGTAGGTGTCTTAGGAGAGGCATTTCCACCAGCTGGCAGGGGTGGGAACCACCTCAGCTCACTGCCACACTGGGTGCATTAGCCATTTGGAAGTTAGCAGTCAGGTTGTGCCCAGGAATTGCTAATGTAGAAAGGTCTTCTCTGTGCTCTGTGATGTCCCACTGGTGCTCTGTCCCCGAAGTGAAGTTTAAGGGACAGGTGTGTGATGGAGAGGGCACAGCAGAGAGTGGCTGCATCTTGTGAGGGAGGCATTCTCTGCAAGCTACGTGTGATTTAGTTTCCTGTGCCCTTAAGGGTAGGGATAGCATTTGTAATATCCAAGAGGGACATCAAGTGAAATGTATGGTAACAATTATTTGTATAAGCCCAAATTCAGGATGGCCTTTATTGCAATGAACATATCCTGGGGAACATGTCCTTAAAGTTATTGAAGAAATCCCCAGTCCATATGTGGAGGTATTACTTGCTGCTGCTTTCTACTGTTTGTGAGGGTTATACTGGTCTTAAGTTGTTCTTGGATATATACTTCACTGCATCAGGGGACTATTGGCAGCTGATGAAGAACATTATGAAAAGTTGAGAGATACATTTGTTTCCTTTAACTATTAGAACACATTAACTTAGTCTTTGATGGTCAGCTATATTTGTTGGCACAGGACCAAAAATATTTGAATGTAATTTCATGGTGGGGGTGGGGTAGCCTATGTGGTTGGTTGCAGGGTGACTTTGTGAGACTCCTTGCCCTGATTACATCAGGTGTTTTTTTTTTCTCTTTTCTTTCTCCTTTTCCCAAACCAGGTTGTCCTGGCCCGAGAACTGGCAACCTCAAGGGAATATGCCAGTAAGTACTAACTCCAGTGAGCTGAGCTGTGTGTCTAGGATGCAGGGACAGTGCCCCTCTGGGCACTTGGCCACTTGGCTGCACAGCCCCTGGTGGTTTCTGTGCTGATTTCAGGGGACAGGACAGTGTGGGTCTCAGAGGCCACAAAGCTGGTGGGTGTCTCATGTGAAAAACTTTAATTCGTATCCGTTACTTTTATGAGTTGTGTCTTTAGTGTGTCTTTTCTTACTTTTTCCAATTGTAGTAACTTGCTTCTCTCTTAAGTTAAAATTCTAGAGAAACGTCACATTATCAAAGAGAACAAGGTCCCGTATGTAACCCGAGAGAGAGACGTGATGTCACGGCTGGATCACCCCTTCTTTGTTAAACTTTACTTCACGTTTCAGGATGATGAAAAGCTGTGTATCCTTTGAACAGTCAAAGCCTTCTGATATCACGCCAGTGACCCCTTATCGTTTTGGAACCGTGACCCCATTGTTTGTTTTCATGAGTAGCCCCTTCCCCGGAAAGGAAAAGGGTAGCCTGTTGTACATACAAATGAATTCACATCATTTTACTTTGCGAACCCCTGGGATTGCTGACACTCACTGCAGTAGAACGTTACTTCAAGGGAAATCATTTCAGTCATTTTTTGGAGGGTTTTTTTGTTTAGAAACCTAAAGGATTATTATTTTAATGCTGTTGTCGCTAGACATTTGTTTAAAACCATTCCCTCATTCCTCTAACCAGAGTCCTTGGCGTTCCCTATCAGGTGTCAAGTCCAGTGCTCAAAGCAGGGAGTGAGAGAGAGGAAGGATGATCTTGGGCATCTGGGGCTCCTGGGAGGTGGGTACCTCTTTGCTATCTTTGGCCCAGGTTTGTGGGGTTTGGTTGGAAGGGACATCTTTACCAGGCTCAGCTGCCTGGTGAGAAGTCCAAGGAGTGACCCACAGAAGCTGAAACCCTTTTTTCCTTCCTTCCAGAGAAGGAAAGGCCCTGTAGTCTCCACCCTGCCCCCTGTGGGTATTTCTGATCACCTAGTGCCTCTGACTACCCAGGGCTGTGTAGACTGTTTCTCCAGCTGCTGCTTCAGCAGGGACCTCACACCCTGCTGATTCTTTGCTGTATTTGAGGGCATCTCATGTTCCCTGACTTCTCTAATCCCTGGAGCATAGTCTTTTTTCTTTGCTCAGGGTTCAGGGAGACAGGGGGCACTGTGGCATTCAGGGTGGACCGTTCATCATGCAGCCAGGCTGGCCATTTCTCCTCACTCCCCAGCACCTTTCCTGCAGCTGTTCTTCCAAACCAAGGCTTCCTCAGCCCCCATTTGCCTGTAGATGCTCTTGGCTTCTACTTGACAAGGCCAAATGGAGTTGGTTCAGAGCTTGTTCAGGTTTAAACTTCAGTCTTTGCATCTGTTCTTTTCCTCCTGCCCTTAGGTCTCCAGAGGCCCTTCGCATCACCCTACCATCTGCAAAGCTTGGCTTCCCCATCCTGCCTGGGGGGTGAAGGCCTGATCTTAACCCCCACTCTCTCCTCTCCTTTCTCCATACTCCTCTGGATTAAAACTTTGCTCTGTCCTGTTCCCTCTTTAACACATCTCTGGCTCCTTCACCTGTCAGTTGAATGTGTTCTTTTGTTTATTGAGAAGTCCTCGCTGAGTGCCAGGTGATGAGAGTATGCTGGTAAATAAGGTGAGGTTCTGTCCTCGCAAGGCTCGCACATCTGTGGAGGAGTTAGATATACACAGATGATGGTTGTCTGTATAATAGACTCCGAAGGAGCAAGGGTAGTCAGGCTGAGTGGGAGCGTTGGGGCTGCTGTTTTAGTTCGGTGGTCTGAGGGAATGACGTCCCAGAGACCTCGACGGAGCAGGGGCAGGTGTGCATATGTGTGGGTGAGGCAGGAAGTCTGAACAGAGGCCAGCTCCTTGGGCTTTGGAATTCTGTTCAAGAATTTTGGATTTCCTTCTCAGTGTGGCAGGGAGTCCAGGAGGGTCTTGAGCAGGGCGGCCGTTTGCTCTTACTCGGGCTGCTGCTGCAGGGAAGGCTCTTGTAAGTGAGCTGGGAAGATGGAGCCAAGGTGACTTCTGGATGTGGGTCCTCAGGGCCTGGGTGCACAGTGGTGCTGGAATTAATGCATCCGTTGGTGCTTGCTTTTCGAGGGCTGAGTGGGCGACTAGGTGCCTGCACGCAGAACCCGAGAGGAGTCAGGTTGGTGTACAAATTGGTGGTGGTGGGGGATGTCAGTGGACTGGAGGGTGCTCAGCAGGGAAGAGTTCCAGTGAGTGGAGAGGACACAGACCCAGGGGCAAGATGGATTTTAGTGGAGGGTGCTGGCTGCCTGGCCCAGTAGTGCCAGGTGGTTGGTTACCTGGTGCCTGGGCCTGGCCTGTTGATTGGCCCCCATGCATGTTGTTGTTGACAGTGGCAGATTGGGGGTGCAGTGGAGGGCATAGAGGTGAGGAAGTGGAGACCACAGATAGAGCAGGTTTTCCCAGTGTTTTCTCTGAAAAGGGGAACAGTAAAGTGGTCTGGTAGCCAAAGGTGTGTGTGGGGGCAGGGAGGCAGGTTCTTTGTTGGTTTGTTTCAGGTGTTGTAGAAGGTTTGCCTCTCCACCTGGCTTCAGCATCACCCCTTGTCCCCACTTGTCTGCTGTAACTGCTCATGTGGCAGCCATCAGTGGTCTCCCGAGGGCATTAAAGGGGACCTTTATCTCTGTTCTGAATCTCATCTCTGAGGCCACCTTGACACCTCACTCCTCGTGCTCCCTGGGACCCACATGACTGTGCTCCTATGTGAGCCTGTGGGACTCTCCCACTGCCAGATTCTCTGGAGGCCCAAGCCCAGCCTTCCTACAGGGCCCGTGGGAGAGTGCATCTTGTTGCATTCCAGCAGATCGCACTCTTTTGACTTCGTCTTCTCCCAAGGTCATGTGCAGTAGGATCAGGCACTCAGAGGCTGGATGAACGAGCTTGCTGTTTAATTTCAGATGGGATTGGCCAGAGTAGTGCAGATGGAGGGCACTCTAGGTCTTTGGCCAACGGTATCTGTTGCTTTTGACCTTTTAAGGCAAATTTGAAAGCCTGTGAAGGTTGTAAGGCCTCAGTTACCTCTGAAAGGAGTGAGACCTGGGGACTTCAGCCCCACTGGAAATCCTTAGTAGCATGTGTTGTGTTGAAAGATAAAGAAAAGGAAACACCGCCTGAGGAAAGCCCTAGTATGCACACCATCCTCCCTTTAGCCATAATTATACATTGAGGAGAAGGGAAAACGGCTTCTTCAGTGACTGCAGGGATAAACCCACCCTTAGGACAGGTGAGGCAGGGCCTGGCGACATCCCCGCAGCAGCCTTTAAACAGGTAGGTGGATCCATGAGGGGCCTCCTGGGCACTGGCAGCCTCTTTGCTCTTTGGAGGTTCAGCTTGACCAGACTTAGCCCCTACTCCCAGGAGAGGGGCTAAACTCAGAGAAGCGGCCAAACACAAGCCCTCCTTCCCTCCCTCTGCAGGTGCGGTGCAGGGCTGAGCACTGGAGCCAGATAGCCTGACTCTTCTTTCCAGAAAAGATGAAGGCTGAGGGGTTTCAGAGGCTCTTGCTCAGCTAGCCTGCCTTCTTCCTCCACCCTCACCTATTCCCTCTTGTATGTCCTCTCTTGCAACTAGGGGACAGGAGCAGAGCACTAGGCCTCAGGTGACTGGGCTCCAGTCCTGTCCCTCCTTGGCTTTGTGACCTTGGGTCAGTTGCTTAACTTCTCTGGTCTGGGTTCCTCTGCAAAGTGCAGACATTGGGCTCACCAGGCCCTCAGGCTCTGCAGTTGGTCTGATCTGTGTTCATCATCCCAGGAATTCACCCACTCCTGTGGGATAATAGCCTCCTCTCACTGCCCTTGGGCATTGGCTGTGCTGAGGGAGGTAGAAACATTCTAGAATGTGAAATGGACCAACAAGGTCTGAGAGAGTATTTCTAGGGGGTGACGAACATGTGGTCAGAGAGAACACTGGTTTGGAGCCATGATCCTCAACATCTGTCACATTCAAAACCTGTCACTTAGCTCCACAGCTGAGCAGAGAACTAGAAATGTTCCTCATACAGGAAACAGGAACTAAGGGGGTGGTCAGTTAAGGGGCAAAACCTGTGAAGCCGGAAGAGGCCCTGTGGCTGTGGCTGTGGTGGCCGAACCTCTCACATTAGCTGCTGGTTCCTGGGAGACGGCACACCTAAGTGGTGAGGTTTTGTGGCTAGTCCAGGTCCAGGTGGACCACCTGCCCAGGCAGCGCCGAGCTTCTGCTTGGGGTTGGGGGAATTGGAGTCCGTAGGCCACTGGTGAGGAGGTCACAGACATCAGCTTTCCCCTAGGAGGAAAGGGGCCCTGGCTGAGACCCTTTGCATTCCTTAGAAGTAAGGTTGGATTTTTGCTTCTGATTCTTGTTAAATGTTGTTCTAGTTGGGAGGGCTTAGGTGTCCCAGGTGGGGCTGGATCAGAGGCAGGTTTGAGCAGCTTTGGTTGCCAGTCTTTTTGCTCCTGGGCTTGTCTTCACCGCTCTGCAGCTTCAGGTTCCTTCCTCGGTGGGAGATGGTGTTGTCTTGGCAAACAGAAGCCAGATTGAACACCCTGAGCGCAGGTCACCCCTTCCCCCTTGGAGCGCTGTTCAGGGTGGGTAAGGACTTGAGTCACCGTGTCCCTGGCTGCCAGGGAGTGGAGAAGCACCTGTAGATTCCCAGTAAGAGGCACAGATGTTCGGTGCTTCCAGGAGGAAGCAGTTAATGGGATCCATTTATTGTTCCAGCCTTTAATCCTCTTTGGAAGGAGAATAAAAACGAGACAGATTGCACGGCAGTGATGTCTGGGAGGAAGGTGTCTGCGTTCTTCGAGTCTCTCCCTAGTGGGGGCCCAATAAATAGATTGAATCCTCTTACAAAACTTGTCACTTTATACTTGGAAAGGAGCGTTCATTTGAGAAAACCATTATGTGAATTGACCCTCTGTACGGCACGTGGAACGTGGTTGGTGCAGGTTCGGAGGCTGTGTTAGGATGTCCCTGACCACAGGCCCTGCCCACCATCTCTGTTGGCTTCCCTTCACTGAGCCTGCAGGTGTCTTCTGGGGATGGTGGGGTCCAGAAGGGGCATTTGGCCTGAGAGTCATGTGTTAACTGTATTTTTGGTGAGAAACCTATGCTGGGGTCCTGTTCTGGAGCCAGGGCAAGGGATTCCCACCAGACCCAGTGACCGCTGACCTGACTATGACAGGGTCTGGCTCTAAGAGGGACGGCTGTCTTGGGCCACAGATACCTTCAGTTTTCATTAATTCACAAAATTGCTACTGGGCTGTTTAGTTCAAAAGAATGATTTCGCTCTATTCCTTAACTATGCAATATTTAGATTTTGGCCTTAGTTATGCCAAAAATGGAGAACTTCTTAAATACATTCGCAAAATTGGTTCATTCGATGAGACATGCACGCGATTTTACACAGCCGAGATGGTGTCCGCCCTAGAGTACTTGCATGGCAAGGGCATCATTCACAGGTACAAGCCAGGGGCCTGCAGGCTTTGCTTGCAGGCCTGGGGGTCAGTTCTGGTCTCTTGTGGAGGGTGGGATGCCTCGTTGTGAGAATTAAGAAGAGTTCACATCACCCTGATGTTAAGAGACTCGTGGACCTTTAAATATCAGATGAAATTGGCCAGATGTCTTTTTTTGCCAGGCTAACAATTCTCTTAGCCATCTCGACTGGTGCTATTATTTTGTCACTTGTAGCTTCTGTGTGTGCTTATTTCTAGTCTCATTTTCTATCACTTTCAGGTAAAGTCAAACTGAAAGTGTTCTTATAAGCTTTTATTCCCCCCTTACTGATTTTTTTTTAGTGGTAAAATACACATAACATAAAATTTACCATTTTATCCTCTTCTCCCCAGTTTTGAGAAATTATAACCTGCCTAAGTTTAAAGTGTACAGCATGATGGTTAGATTTACATTTATTGTGAAATAATTACCACTGAAGGTTTAAAGGTTCTTTATGGGTTAAAAGTGATAGATTATACTTAAGTTAAAAATTTATTAAAATGATAGCTGGAGTTATGAAATAATGTCATTCGAATGTCCTCACTATATGCAGTTGATATTTGTTCAGTACTAATTTAGACTTGAGTTTTTGGTTGTTAGTGTGTAAAGATTACAGGTATTAATCAGTTCATTTTGTTTTCAGCAAAATTTAGAGAATGTAGTAGCGTTACTGTTTTAAATATTTCATCTCAAATGTAAAAAAATCTGCCTTCACAGGGACCTGAAACCAGAGAACATTTTGTTAAATGAAGATATGCACATCCAGATTACAGATTTTGGAACAGCAAAAGTATTATCCCCAGAGAGTAAACAAGGTGTGTGAGTGCTTTATTTCCAGAAGTACTTCTTAGAAATGTGTTAAATTGCACTGTACTCATCATTAATCACGGTTATTTGTAATAACTTTGTTACTGTAAAGTAGGTGCTTGACTTTTCACTGAGGAAGCTCCTGCCTTCCCCCAGCTCTTGCTGGGGGCCTGGGCAGTGTGTGCCTGGGTTAGTGGGTGTGGGGAGAGGGCTTTCTAGGCTGCCTGTGGTTGGTCCTCCTGGCCTCGAGTGGTGCTAGGTCACCAGGGGCTTTCTGCATGTTGTTGCAGAACCCTGGTGCCCACTGTGGCTCACCCTCTCTGATCATCTTCCTAGAAGATGCTGGGATGCCACATTTGTTCTTGGTGTTCCATGCAGGGGTGTGGGGTCAGTGCAGTCAGCTCCCAGCTTTTCCTGTTGGCACTGTGAGTTCTATGCGGTGAGGGTGGTGGGGAGACTGTCCCTGTGTCTTAGTGCCCACTGCCTGCCCGTCTCCTGTGTGCCACTGTATGTGGTGGCCCAGGCATGCCGATTTTAGTGAGAGCGCAGGATGAGTGGGGGCTGATTTTTACCTGCTGATCAGGTGCATGTTTAATTGCAAACCCCCTCATCACTGTTCCTCTTGGGTTATCCCAGCTAGATTATGTATTGTGACAGCTCTACTACCTGAGGAGAAGTTGCTGATAGTCCACTCGGGCTGGAAGAGTGCCCTGATTGTCTTAGCTAGCTGGGGTGTCTCGGCCATGGGGGCGGTTATGGGGGGCGTCCTGCTGCCTTTCAGGTGTTTGTTGGATAGAAATCATAAACTCTGGGGATATAAAGAATGGCAATTTAACATCTGAAACCTGTTTTAAAGTGTTGGGCTAGAGAGAAGATAAAGAAAGCCCTTTATGGTGAGGTTTGGGGGAAGCCAAAGGCCACTGTGTGAATTAATAAGTGACCTTGAAAATGAACCTTGGGTGCAGGGACAAGTGTGACCGTCAGAGCTACTCTGACCTGGGAGGCTGTTGTAGGAACCTCCATGCAGGGCATGCACCTCTCTCTTGGGGCTCATAGCTCCCTGTGAGAGAAGGACCTTGATGAAGAGTGCTGGGGGAATGGACACGATGGTCTTCTTGGTGGAAGAAAGATTCAGACAGAAACACCTATTTTGCTGAAGCTGCTCTCATGTGGAAAAGGGGAACTGTGAGCACAGGGCAGTGGCAGGAGGAGCTCGGCCTTTCAGAAGAGCCCTCTAGCTTGGCTGGGCTGACCTTCTCTGCCTCGGCCTTGAACTGGGGCCTGTTTAGCAGCAGTACATCAGACAGAACTGGGCTAACACCTGGGGTTTGCTCCTGCTGGCCACGATGGGCAGACTTGAACGTGCTTCTGGGAGATGCCAGGCTGCACCTCCATGGGTTCCCTTCCACAGGGTGCCTAGATGCCTGGTCTTTCCTTTCTAGGCCTTTCTCTAGCCCTGTGGTTTTAACCTGAGGTTTCTTGTCAAGATTCTATCAGTTAGTGCTTAAATCTCTGCACAGACACTCATTGAGTCACCAAGACGGCATCTTGGATTTGGGAGCTTCTCTGAGAATCTTAAAAGTGCCATCCTTTTGGGGCTGAAACAGAACTTGCAATCAAGGAAGGTGCTCCAGTTATTTCTCAGTGAGGCTTAGTCCTGGTGACACTTGCCTGCCTTTGTTTTGTCCTTCCTACCTGGGCTCCAGGTGCACTTCCCAAGCCCCAGGAAGTCCTCCTGGCACCTGTGAGATGCCCCAAACTTTGATCTATTTGACTCCTTCCTCTTGTGTAGTAACATTTTATTGGCCAGTAGTCATGTTTTTATGGACATGGTATATAACTCATAACCAAAGCATTGTCCATGATGGAGGTGAGCCGAACAGGAAGCACTGTGTCCCCGAATGTTCTTGTTAGGCTGCTGGGCATCGTGTGACTTCCTACTGAGAGAAGCCACCATCTGCCTGTCAGCTGTGGGCAGCATCTACTTGGTCCTTTTTTCTTCACACAGATTTCCTTCAGAT